CTTACGGTACGCTACCGCGGTTCGTATGCGGTACGCTTGCGGCTCGAGATATCTCCGTGGCGATCTGACGTAGGATGGTTTGTCTAGATCCATCGGTGCTGTCATCCTCCATTTGAAGATGGGTGGACAGTAGTAGTAGTGTACCTGTGAGTATAGCGGCCCTGAGATTTTTGACCCGGTGTAGAATGCGAAGCATGCCAAACTGTGTAACTCGGGCTGAATCAAATGCTTGTCTATAGATTGATAGCTCAACCGGTCTCGCCCTGTAGCATTGATGAAGCCATGTGCGATCAGGTCCACAGAAATCATGTAGATAGTCTTCATCAATCATGGGATGGATGATCCGATTGTCTTCAAAATCACTTCCGTAAACCGCATAAGAATCAGACATCCAGCTTGATAACAATGTTTCTACCAATCCGACATCTACCATATTACGCCTTGTCATGAAGCACATATGTCTTTGTCTACTCGCAAGCTATGCCAGCCTCTCGCTTGACATTCTGTGCGATACCAGTTTTATAGCCCTGCCCCTAACAATTGATATCTCCCAGCCTCGTCAGAAAAACACATGTATCGCACTGCTATTTCTCTGAGTGCTATTGCCTGCATACCAAAACACCATCCCCATTTCCTCAGCCTCACCACGTGCAACCACCCGCGCTAACACCCCATCCGGCCCGTCAGCCCACTCGGCCCTTCATCCAACTTCGCCCCCCGAACATCGGGCCGAATACCTCCACGCACACCAACTACGCTTGCGTCCACGTGCGCTCTGGCCAAGAACATTGGCTGGATGCCCAACGAAGCCACGCCCTTTCCCACTCGTCGCACTACCTTGCGCGACGTAAACAATAAGGCCGAGTCTGGGGTAGATGAACGGGACAATAAAGTCGTCTTCGACATGACATCATGCGGAGAGAAACGTCGTAGGGTATGGGTGAGACTGCTGCTGCGGCGTGGCGTGGCACCGGAGTTGTGCCGAAGTATATCCTGGGGTACGTACTCGTAAGACGAACCACCGGGTGTTGAGGCGTTTATCTTTCACCGCGGGCGGTGGATTGGGTGTGAAACTCCGGGGTGCTCGTTGCAGTATGGTGTTGACGTCCGGGCTTCGATATGTCCGCCGTTGGTGGTTTCTGGAAGTCGCATGCCATACCTGCACCTTCCTTCTGTACTAGCCAATCACACTATGATGTCTTACTTCGACATACCCTCCCTCATCGAAAGCCATACAGCTGCCCTATAGCTTCCTGCATATCCACGGTATTCAGCGTAATCCGCGGTCTAGGATCCTTGATGCGCGTGAAGATTTCGAAAACGAAGTGCGAACCCAGTGTAAGAAGTAGACTAGGTATGACGAGGCGGCTGAGTATACGACCCCACGATATCCGTTCTTCTTGCGCCTTCTTCTCTTTCAGGTACTCCTTTTCTTCCGTGGTACTAGTTGTTTCTAAAGGTATCGATGCCGCTTCTAGAATGGTTCTGTAACTGAGTCGACCGAGCCAGATGTGCCATCCTAGTAGCATGGTCGCAGCGGCGGCGATGCTCATCCATGAGGTCGTCGCATACGGTGATTGCGCTCTTCGACCCAGTAATTCGTATATCTCGTCTAGGCCTTGGACCGCGCGGTGCATGGTAAGTGGAACGAAGAGCATAGCTGCCGCGAGCGCGACGACTTCCAGGCCGCGCATGCTGAGGCGTTTGAGGAACGTTGTTTCGGCCTTGCGGACGTGCCAGTGCGAAAGTAGAGATAGGAACTCGTTTGTGCGCGGGTGTGTGGTTGACATTGTTAAGAGCATGGCGATGGGTTTGGTCGTGTCCTTTAGTGAAAGCCTGGCGGGTGCGGTGATGAGGTTCAAAGATAAGAATAAGTTTCGGTGGCGGCAGCAATGGCGATTCGATGCCGCAGATTCCTAGCCACGAGCAAGTTTCGTGAGAACCTTCGATATGGTGGATCGACGGTGTGCTGCGGGATTCGCGTCGTTGTCGTCGTTGTTGCCGTCTTTGTCCAGGGCTTCCCTTCCAAGGTTCCTCTTCGTTTGTAGGTGTCTTGACGCAGCGCTGTGTCGCAATGGAAGTATCGACTCCTACTTCTTTCCCTTCACGGCTGTTGGCTTCCTTCAATCGCTACTTCAATGTCAATTCGAGTCGCCTCCGCCCCTTTCTGTCGCGTCCTTTGCCCGAGTATGACGACTTTCCCACGCTCTTGGCTCTGCGATCCGCACGCCAGGCGCAACACAAATCACAACGATGCGCAACTCGTCCTCGACTCAATTGGAACTTCCTGTTCAGTCTGTCTGTCGTCGCCAGCAAAGTTCCCCTGCGTTGAACCACACGTCGCGAAAACCACGTTGCGCGATCAACCTCGGCACTTCGCGTCGTATCCTCGTAAACCCGCTGAACGTAAAATCGGTGCCAAGCCCCTTTTTCGCACAGTCCCTTACCGCTCTTCCTTACTGCAAATCTTATGCCGTGCCGTCCGCAACAAAAATGCTCGCACTTGCAAGCGCTCGTACAACAATAACGGTTCCGCGTACAGACGTCGTGTAACAGGGGAAAAAGGAATAGAGTTGGATGATGATGCTTACAACTACGTAGCCGTCCTCGGGAGTCCTACCATGTCTACGCCTGATCCGCACTGCGCCGCAGCCAGCAGCAAGTAGGCTGCCTTGCTGAGGGGCGAGGTAAGCGTTAAGGGTTGCCCCGCATCTGCAGCCTTGCGTCGCTAGCTTTTTAGCCTCGTGTTGTGATTGGTGCCCGGGCAGAAAGCGTGCCTGTGGCTGGTCGAGAGTATGAGATGTGGAGATTGGAGTTACGATGCGAGAGGAAGGTGAGTACCTAATGGAATGAGATGATTCGTGTGGTGCGATGGAAGATTTGGGTAATAGAGCTGTTATGGTGCGATATTCATTCCAGAACTATTGCTTCTTCCTAACGCGGAAGTGTGCTGCTGGCTTCATGAGGTACATGACTGCGAGAAAATAAGAGGTCTAAAAGTAACAGACAACCACCATCTACACTTTCTATGCGACAAACAACTTCAAGAAGCCAGGCTGCAGTATGAGAGGTCGCAAGGCGCTACGACTGGAAGTCCAAGAGTACAGAACACCGACAAAATGCACGCTAAACTATCAATTCATCCACCACATTTGCGCGACGTGTGCCATGTCAGTAGAGATAATCAAGCGCCAGGCCCATGATTCTCAAAGCTAACAGCCCTTGCACGCATCGGTTGCTGCAATCCAGCGTCACCATATCCCCTCCCTTCATAATCATTTTCAGTCATAACACCCAAGCTCTTCCAAGTAGCCTTTTCTCTCAGGTCACCATTCTGGTGATTGTTATCATACAAGCTGGGTGTACTCGCTCGCTGAACCGTGATACCAATGCCTAGCCCTTGATTCCTGGGTAGAGCACTGGTAGGCGTGTTTTCGTACGAGAAGTCAGCCGTGTTGGCCCTGCCGCGGCCATGCCCTTCGTGATTACCTTCGTCTTGGAGTGTGGCTTCACTGTCAACCGCTGGGCCGGGACTGTGACTTAGCATTCTAGCCTTGCCGTTTGATGGACCTGTGACAAAGCCGCGGGGCTGAGGCGGCGAGTCTGCGAATGGTGTGTACGCGGTTTGAACTCTGTTCAAAGGAGGTGTTGGTGTGTGGCTTCGGCTGCGAGGCGCGCCTTTGGGTGTGCCGCCAGGGCTTGGTGCGCGGCTGGGGTGTTTTGATATGAGACCACCAGTTTCGTTGTCGTCGCTGTCGTTGTTCAGGGTCCTGTTACCCCATGAGATATCGCGGTTGTGCGAGTGACGTGGATGGCGGCTCGTGTATTGTGCGACGACAAGTAAAATGTTATCAAAAAACAGTACTGGCAAAGAAGTCAGCATATGATCTCAGTCTCTCGATAACAAATGTGGAGGACATTTACCTGTAGCAAAGAACAGCACCACTATGGGAATCATCCAATGACTCCCCTTGAATTTGAACCCACTGGTGGTCTTGTCCGCAATGACGACAGAGATTCCCAGGATGATAAGCGTAAAGCCGACAACAACTCTGTTGATGATCTCGCCGAACTCATACTTCGTCTTGTGAATCTTGTTGAACCAGTACATGATCGCAAGCACCAACAGCAGACAGCCTGCGCCGATGAAGAACTGCATGGTAGTGGTGTTGAAGACATCGGAAACAGCATCTAGCTTGTTCCGCGGACTAGCTGTAGTCGCGGCAACGGCGTTGAGCTTCGCAAGAGAGTCATAATGTGCCTCGTACACGAAGACTTGCGCCCTGTCGAACATGTGACGGACAACGTTGCCGGTTCGATTGTTCCATTCGTTTGATTTGAAGCCGTACATTGCGGTGTAATTCTCAATCGCAGTGAAGTTCGTGTTCCAGTTGTATGTAGTGTTCCAGGCTTTGCTCTTGAATCTCCCGTTGATAGCGTTCATGCTCTGATTGAGGTAGTCGATGTAGCTGTCGGTGTCGGAGTAGCCATTGGCTGGGTCGTAGTAGTTCTCGGGTTTGAACGACCAAATCCACTTAAGAGCTTGCACGGCTGAGTTCCACACGATGAGAGAGGTGTTGCCTTCGACGCAGAGGAGAATTGCTGAATGCAATGGATAGTGTAGTAGAGCCCATACTTGCTGACGCACGGTTCCGAAACGATCATGGGAAAGCTGATCGAAGTACAGCATCCAGAGAAGATACTAAAGGCCCAATTAGCGCTGTCTTTGAGTTGTTAGGTTCTTGTCTGCATACCAAGAGAAGAATGGCCGCGATGACAGTTCCAATCTCACTCATGTTGTTGCTCGTTTGGCTTTTGGTAATACATGCCACGCTCTTGACCATTCCGATGATACCCTCCCCAATGATGATGAGTGTAAGGAGTTGCAGCCGCTCCGCTAGATGAGTGTACTTGAAACTGATGATGCGCCAAATCATGGCGATGAGAAAGATGAGAAGACCTTCAATGATGGATATCATGACCCTACGCATTCTGTTAGTCTAGAAACCGAACGCGGAGTACACTACATACCATGCGAGTTGTTCCTCAAGACCAACACGGCCCTTGGGAAATACAACCATGGTAACGGCATAGCATATCGCTGCAGCAGCATGTACACCTGCACTGAGCCCTAACGGAATCAATGTCTGGCGGAACATGCGACCTTGCCACATAACTACGGCGTATTGAACAGCGATTGCGATTCTGCCGATGACGAGCACGATAGCAAAATTCCGGTAGGATTTCTCGACACCGCTGGTGCTGTACTTGTCGAAAACGGGGCCGGCATACACAAAGCCTGTGAAGATGCCGAACTGTATGGCTTTGTGAAAACGGTTCCAGACGCAGTCGATGCTGAAGCGCACGTCGAAAAGTGTGACGCTCAGCCACGTAAACCACATAAGCGTGAACAGCTTGATGTAGTTGATGAGTGCTAGTAGTCTATTAGCTAGTGTATCCAAGATGTGAGAGCTGTACATACATTCTGCATCGGTATGCTGATGCATAGCTGTAAAGTACGCAAGATTGGCAACAAAGAAGAGATCGTAGAAGAGCTCGATCGTACTGGCTTCGGTGTGTTGTTTGTAAACGATGATATTTCCGCGACTTGTCCTGCCATTCCCAGCAAATGTAGCCGTGTCGTTCGAACTGTCGAGCGTGCTTGTGTGGGTGTTGACCTTCTCCAAATCTGAAGAGTTACCCGACACTACTTCGAGGACATCTTCGTTGATCGGACTTGCAAGTAGGGGCAGATAAGTCCTGTCTTTCCCATGCGCTGCGTGAGTACTGTTGTGACTGCCGGTAGTCTTCCGTCGTAAACTGAAATAACGTGCAAGATCCATGATGAAACAAATGGAAGGAACTGATGATCGTGGGTGGTGGTACGACTGGATTGATGAGAGAGCTGAGCAACAAGGCAGCTACAATACCTGAACATATATACAAGACGCCAGCTACGAGGAAGCTGCTTCGTGACGGTGAAACATCTGATCAGATCGCGTCGGTCCGTAATCGACGACGAGTATCAGTAAGGCCATCGCTGTATGTGATAAGCCTTCGCCCCGTAACATGGCCAATTTAAGAGTAGCATGGCTGTGGTAGAAAGCTTAAGTGAGCCATCTGTACCGAACGATCGTTTAGATCTGTGTATCTGGGGGGCCGTTAGGTCCTAGTATCACGCTTCTAGAAACAATACCAGTGGGGCGCAGGCAACGGAAACCGCGTTGTGTCAACGGAGAGGCTTGCATAAGAGCGAATGCATGCCAGGAGAGGTTGTGTGATCCGAAGAGTATTCTTGAAGCTTGCACTACGGAGGCGTCGTTAGCTGTTGGCAAGGAAGCGCCGTCTGCCGTGAGCCTTGCAGATCTGCTGCATGGTGGTTGTTGCACGATACACCTCTGTGTATCGGAGATCGGTAAAGCCAACCATGGCGTCGGTGTGAGCGGTGCAGGAGCATTGAGCCGTGCCGATCTGCCAGGATGACTGCCAATGTCGGACGTACCAGCATGCGCCGCCAAGCTTTCAAATAAGCTCAGGGTGCACAAGTCTTCGGTCTCGCAAGATGCTGCGGACCAGGCTGAGAATTCGTTTATTCGCCGAACACTGTCCCTACTTCGAGCCTGCTGACGTTTGCCAAGACGGTGCACATGTCGCTGTAGCATGCCAAGCCCTTCAGCTGGCTGGTGGTGAGGTCTCAATTTGGAAGACTATGCCAGCGCAAGTGCCGGAAAGAGCGAATGAGATGCGAACAGCGAACCACGCCCTTCCAGACTAGTACACGCACACGCGCCTACCGTTCCATGTGGTTACACAGATGAAAGTAAAGGTTGTAGAGGTTAATGGTGTTCGGTTCGGCGATTACTAGCAAGCCGCGTCCTAAAATGCCTGCACAGTTTCAGCACATTTGAATCATTAGATTTCTTCTCCCCAAAGATATGCATATCCGCAGCTCAGTGACCAAAAGAGGAGCTTTGCCACTGAATTGGCTATTTCGAGAAGATGATCGGCAGGTGTTCGTGATCGAATTGAAAACGTCGCGAAGCCCTTGCTGGAAAGATTATGGCGTCCACGGTTGCTATCTTCGTGAAGGTTCAACATATTCACTGGCTGCTTCTTCAAAGTCCTCATCTGATGAGCTCTCATCGTCGTCTTCGTCTTCGTCTTGGGTGGCCTCGTAATCGTCGTCTAGCTCGTCATCGTCATCATCCGGAACGGGTGCACTTGGAAGTGGATGCCTGGACCGTAACACGCGACCGGTGCTGTTGGCTGCAGCATCAAGTCGGTTCACTTTGGCTCTCACTCTACCCTGTCTGCCTTCCCGTTCAAAGTTGAGGGGCCATTCCAGCTCGAGAGCCTGCTGCCGGGTGCCAGCATTATCCATAATCCAATTATACGGCTGCTTGAGTACGATCTCGGTACGAATGACGAAGGTTCCCCAGCCTCGAGCTTCGTACTCATAAGGTGGTTTTCGGATAATGACGTGGGATCGTCGGAATGTAGGATGCTGTTGTGTGTTAGCGCTGAACTAAAAGGAATGTGAGATAGGAATTTGAACCATACCAGATAAATGTGCACTTCCTTAATCAAATCCGGCCTCGACGTGCGCACAAAGAATGTCCAATCATGCTCGTTATCGTCACCAGCATTCCTAATAAGCCTATGCTTATTCCCTATGAGCATCATAACGCCCTCGAAGCCATCACGTCCGATACGTGACCCCCTCTCCTCTTCCTCTTCAACGCGCCTTTCAGCATACGTGATAGGATATTTATGTTCTAACTGTCTTGCCAACGCGTTATCCGGAGTTGCAGCAGTACGCGTCCTGCACATGGGACAGTCGCACTCGAGGTCGTACGTTGGATCGTAGTTCGGATCGAAGTCTTCGAGGTTCACGTCCCAGCTGGTGGGTTCGATGCTGTGCGTGTTGGAGGCGTCGGACCACTGTGCCATGCAGGACGCGCATAGCAGGTGGTTGCACTGGGTTTTTACGGGCGTGAAGAGGAGAAGTTGGCAAATCTGGAGTTTGTTAGTAAGAATACGCGTGTTCGCGGGTGGTACTTACGGGGCAGAGGTCATCGTGCGCGACTTGTTCCGGGTTCGATGGTGTTGCTGCTTCGGCCATGATGCCCAGGTGATGCGACGAGGAGAGCAAAAGGAAGATCAAGTGATTCCAGTAGGAGGGCAGACTTTAGCTGCCGTCCCTTGGTGCATTGGCGGCATGGCTCGCGTCGTGATGTTGTTATCGTCATTGGTTAAGGCGTCCTCCAGGCATCAGTCCGCGCCGCACGAATTAAGGCGGGGAGGCACGTCACGTGATAGCGCGTCAAAATCTACACAGCCGATATCAAAGAACACTTCCATTCCGCGCAACAGACGACTGACTGACCTATTAAACGATTCTCGCCGCGATACCCTCCCCATCTAACGAGATGTACTTTCCCAACATGAACCCTGCTCCGACCCTCCTATACCTCTTCTCGCCCCTCCCCGTCGTCCCCTGCGTCGCTGTGACAAGCAAGACGTAGTATCGCCTCAGCAAATTCGAGCTTCCGCCCTTCATTTTCGCGACAATGACACACTGAGTGACTTGGCCGTCGCTCGCGCTCGTCCTCTCAGCATCATACGTTATCTTGACCTCCTCTGGCAATCTCCCCGCTACTTTGAAGTCGCGGACCCGAGCTATGATGGCGATCTCGTCCTCCTGTGGACTGGTGTCTGTCATGGAGTGTTTGTTGCTACCACGAGTCCAAGGCGGGATTATCTCGGTGCGCTCCCAGTCTGCTTGATCGAAAGGCGGATCGATGTAGTCTATCCCACCTCGATACGCCATCCAGGACCAGCTTGGGACTTTCACCTTGCGCGCTGCCGGGAACTCAATCGTGGGCATGTTCGGAAGATCCCCTTTTTCTTCGCCGCGTTGCCACAAGAGACTCCGATGGAAGAGTCCGCCGTCTTCTTTGTCGCCATCGTCAAAGATGCCAAACGCTCCCCTTGTGTTGAAAGCACTTTGTAGGCGCTTCTCGAGACCCGCGATGGCAAAAGGGCGGTCAGAATAGCGCGTGAAGTCGAGACGAGAGTATTGCTTGTAAAGGCCTTGGAAATAAGCAATCTTCCGTGCGCGATTGGCTCGCATGGCCTTGTTCGGGAAGTTTGGGTCACCGAGGAAATCGGCCATATTGCTGGGCTTTGGGTCAATGATGATCGAACAAACAGAGGGTGTCATGACTTACTTGTGCAGTTTGGCCAGGGTTTCGCATCGAACACCTTGACCGCACTCGAAGTATGTCTGGTTCTCCGTGAAGTAGATGGTCCGTCGTGACAGCGCGCGCTCTTGCAACACCCAACCTCTCTTGTTCAAAGACCCCTCGATAACGTCTTTACTGAAGTTATCGATAGTCTTGCAGACGAAGAAGGGCTTTTCGTTGTCTCGCTGAATGGTGATATACTCACGCTGCGGCCTAGGGTCAAGGAAGCCATCACGTTGATTGCTCGCTCGGCTTGCAGCGAATACACAATATGCTCCACTAAAGACTGCCTCCATGTTCTTAGACTCCTCGTTGAAGTCTCCGTGTTCACCTTGGATGATGCAGAGCGAATCTACCCACAAATAGCGGATGCCAATCTTCCGCGTGCAGTTGACGGCGTCATGAAAGGTTGCTGGAAGCTCGCCTTCGGGAATGGCTTCAAGATACTGCTCTAGGTTCTCTGGCAGAGTACAAAACGGTGTGTACTTCGTGGTGTCTCCCCAGGGATGTGACAGTGCGATGTACTGTTTGCTTAGGATCTGCTCTCGCTTCGTCTCGACAAGGCGCAACATAGGCGTATCGAGAGTACCCACGTCGAGGAGTCTTGTCGGCAGGCTATGGTATAGCCCCTCACATCCTGTATGATTCGTATCGCAATCTTTGAGCCAAAGCGTTATGATACTGAAGAACGCGTCTGATCCCGCTTCTGGGAGCTCTGGGAAGCCAATTTGGATTGGACACGGAAGGTCCGTTTCTGGACTTCTGATTAGAGAAAGAACAGGATACGAGTCGCCCGTCAAAATGATGTTCGATTGGTCTCGCTGGAACACCGCCGGATCTCCTTTGGGCTCTTCGGCTTGGTTATGGATCTCGTACAGCATTCTGCACATATCGCATTCCGGTGCACGGTCTTCCAACGTTGACACCCGCTCTTCGATGCTGAAACCGCCTTGTAGGAAGTCACGCGCGGAGCACGCGGCACAAAGTCGATGAGCGATGTTTGTTTGCGGGATAAATTCCTGTCCGTCGACAATTGCGACGACTTTATGAGCGAATTCATTATCGATATTAAACTCCCAATCTTTGAGAGGCGGAAGGGTGTAGTCAGCGCCAATAGGTCGGCCGAGAACTCCACTCTTGAGCGACCCTGGAGGTGGTAGGCTGCTCAGTGGAAGATTAGCACTGTTCGGCGATAGCATTGGGGCCGTGAAGGTTGGCGTTCTGACGTTGGTGCGGTCTTTGCCAGTGAACATGTAAGTGGACATGTGTCGCTTCCTCAATATAACGTCAAGTTCGTCCCGAAACTGCGAAGCCGTAGCTCGATAGCTTGTAACAGATTGACCGAGTGCTGGAGGTTGAAGGAGTCGACCACTCAGGGTATCACTCTTCCTGTTAGGAGGAAGATTGACGACTAGTAACATCTCGCGTACAATCTTGAGCAAATCTTTGATCGCTGATGTTCGCCCTGCTGAACACTCCGGATCTTTGTTCTGAATGTGCTCCATCCACTTCAAGACCACAGGGTGAACTCTAGCACTTTCCGGTTCGCTCGCGTCCAAGACTTCGTAGTACTGGCAGATCTGTTGTGCATTTCCCTCAATCTGTTTGTAGAAGTTGGTCAATTCGTCATTGCCGTATAAGATCCAGATAATGAACTCAAAAGTGATGCATCCCATTGACCAGATGTCGTAGAGCCGGGAGCGTGCATTCTGACCAGTAACAGTTTCAGGCGCTTCGTACCGTCGGGTACCGTATCTGGTGCTTGTAGGCTTCGGTCTGTACTGCGTAGCCACTACATGTCGCTTGGCCAGGCCCATATCTGCGATCTTCAGGGTCCCCAGGCCAGACTTAGATCCATTGGTGAGGAATCTTAGGATATTCTCCGGCTTTAAATCACCATGCCTGATGGACTCGGCATTGCCCGCATTCTTGTATTCATCCACCCCGTTGTCAATCCCGTTATCGCTACCGGCATCACTTCCGCCGCTCGGATACGATTCCGCAGCGTTTGGGTCGTTCACTCGTATCGTCAAGCCATCGGCTCCGCTATGCTGTTCTGGCCGCCCGCTGTTGAAATTATGTAGTTGGTCCAATGCATCGGCAATGCCTCTAAGTTGAACGATGGTGTGTTCGATGATACAAGCATCTGGGGCCTCTCGTGGCGTGTGGTCCCAAAAGTCACGCAAGCTGTCCCCGTTGGCCCAGGGAAACATGAAGTAGCGGCTGTGACCTCTTCGAATAGCTGCTATACACTTCACGATATGGGTATGGTTGAGCTTCCTGATGGCTTCGAGAGCAGTAGCTTCGAAATTCCAGGCCCGGTCGGTTCCAGCAGCTTCCTTTTCTCCTTGTGGTACTTTAAGCTCCTTCAGCGCCACCTGTTTAAGAGTTCAGCGATAAGGATCCAATATATACTACTGCTAACGTACCTGTTGTATCTCTGGATATTCATGATGGTCCTTGTGTATCGTGACCCGATATACCGAACTGAAAGCGCCGTCCTTTGGCTGCGCCCCATCTGACGTGAATGGAAATATGCATTGCGCTTTCAGATCATAGCCATACTTCTGCTGTATGAATACCGGAGCTAAACACTTCCACTGGTTTTCTCGGAAGTTGACGATTTTGAGTGGATTCCAGATCCGGGGAAGAAATACATGTTGACTTGGCGGTTTCTCATCGATTGGTAGCTTCTCATCAGTGAACCCCCATTTTTGAAATATAGCCATGGCTAAGAGCAGAAGAGATGGTTCGAAGTCGCATTGAATAGTGATAGCGAATACCTTGGGGGCCTTGGTATGGATCCATGTCGCGAGCTGATACCGACGTTCACGATCCCACTTAGCGGTCTGCTCTATTGGAGACTTCTCAATTTTAGCCAGCTCCTGCTCGATCGCTGTCTGGACGATGACCTCCTTGATCGCGTTTTCCGGCAGGTAAAGGCGGTTTGGATCATGGAAAGTTGCTGCTGCGAGACGACCGAGTATAGTTTCGACTAGATTGGAGCCTAAGATCTTGGGCGCAGTTAGACCTTCTAGTTCTTCATCGCTCAATCCGGGCGCTAGAGCGGGTGCTTCGGGGTGTTCCTCGTTGTTGTTCGCTAAGTTTTCGGGTCGGTTCGGCTGGATCGCACGCGCTTTGTTGCCCCACACCAGATAGCAAACGACCAATAAGAACGCGTAGAACAAGACCGTATCGACAAACATCGCTGTGGTTGGATTCACGTGTGTCCCTTCAGGTTTGACATGAACATGCGCAAAGAAGTTACGCTGTATTTCGAGAGGTTGCTGTTCGGGACGAGGACTGGCTGTTCCTACGGATCGGCAAAGCCAGGTTTCACGGACACATGTAACACCTTATGACATGCGGTTCATTTGCAGAGCCGCCTGCGAGCTGAAGTCCGATTTGTGATGGATGTGCGCCACATTGCTAAAATGATCAAATCAGAGCAGAAGCCCCGGGATGTTAATGCCGTGAGTGACGCTCAGCCTTGTGAACGCAGCTCAGCTCAGCTGCGAAAGACGGGATAATGACCCAAAGCGTTCAGATGTACGCAGTAAATATTGGACCCCACAGGCGAGGTGCAGATGGACCCCACCTGTTCCCTGAAGCGCATGAACGCCTGCGTGGGATACAGCTAAAAAGCAATTCCGCACACCGCTCGTAATTACAAACACAGTGATCAGCGGGCTCATCGTTGTCGCGTAGCCTCGCGACGTGAACCGCGCATACCTGGGTGTTCTCAGTCAGAGTCCGGTTGATGCGCAGCTGGCGCAAGTAGCTATACCAGGCAGATGCAAACCGCAAGTGCAAAATTAGTTCACAACATGACCTGATCTGGCGCTTCATACAACGAGCATACTCTGCAAACACTCATGCTGATGTGTTCTTTGCCTGCATGGTGATCAAGTAGCTTTGGTAAGGAAATAAAAGGAATGCGAACACATCCACGTCACTCCCGAGCCACCAAAGCTCGTCTTGAAAGTAAGAAAACTTCCGAACACGGCAATCGAGGTTATGCGAGGATAGGCGACCTGAGTTTGGGTATGCGACTCAACCGTCTTCTTCTCGGTGCGACAGATTGGACTGCTGGAGCTTCTGATCTCGGACTTGGCAGATCATCCTGAATAGCCTGCTCCGGATTGTACATAATGTATCGCTCGACTGCCGAATCGGTCGATCTCATGTTGCACCAAGGGTTGCTCGTCGTCGCATACTCTTCGTTACGGCGACATCTGGCGTACATATCGTCTAATGTTCGCCAGACGTTTATGCAAGGTTTGCGCTCCCATGAGTCTACTAACAACATGTCGAACTGAATCAAGTTCAGTACATCGTGCACGTAAGCCGTACAATCCGAGTGACGATGTAGCTCTTGGATAAACTATTGTAGTTGGTCAGCTGGGCGCTGTGACATCAAAAGGTGCAACATACGGCGGTGACCCTTGAGTTGACCTTGGCCCGTATCCCAGCAGCTTCAGGGTCTTTCTCCACTTCGTAGAATGTATCAACAGTTGTGAATCGATGGAAGTAGTCAGTCATCGTCCTTAGCTTCTTGAATCTTCTCACAAGCTCACGACCCCCTAGTAACCAAGCCACAAACTCAAGGTAAACGCAACCCAAACACCAAATATCGTAAGTTTGTCGCATATCCGCATTGGGCAAATCGCATTCGGGGGGTCGGTAAGTCATCGTATTAGGGGTTTCTCGGCGATTGGTCTTGCTCTCCAGTGAGTGGATCTCAGCTTGTCCGAAGTCGGTGATCTTGAGTGTTCCCTGCAACGTCAGACCATCGTGTTCGTTATCGCCATCGTCGTACCAAAGGATGTTGTTTGGATTGATGTCTCCATGGCGGCCGTATACTTTCTTTTGCGTGCTAGCATGATCGTAGAGTTGATGGCTACGCGACGGCAGACCCTGATCGCCAAAGTCGTTGGGGCATCCGAATGGGCTCGTCGGACGCTCTTGCACACCGTTTGAAAGTATCGACGAGCCTGTGTCGACCCGCTCGCTCAATGGTGCAAATCTCACGATTTTTTCCACTCGAGTAGAGTTGTTCCCGGTAGTGTCTGTGATACATTAGCTCTATGTAGAGCAGTGTCCAGCGAAATTTCGCCCCAAAAATAGAGACGACGCAATTTCTTCGGTTCTCTCGCTTTGATTGAGATCACATACCATGTGTGTCTTCCAATTGCTCCTCCTCGTTCTTATGCTGAGGCTTGGTGAACGACAGGAGCTTGTGAAGTTTCGACAGGCCCTCGGCAAGCCCGCTGCATTGCTTTGCAAACCAGTTGACATTGCTGTGGTGGAGAACCGGGTGTGGGTTGAGCTTCTTCCAATAGTCGAACAGATCACCTTCTGCACGGTAGAAGATCAGATTGAACCTGTTGAACTGCTCATATGTTGCAAGCAAGGACACAATGTGTGGGTGGCTTCGCCCGCCGCTGAATTTCATCAGTATGTCTATTTCTCTCTTATAAGCGTCACGATGCTCATCGTAGAGTTGCTGTTTGATGGCGAAACCGCGCTCACAGAGCCGCTTATCACTGAAATTGTGGTGATCGGAGGGTATGTTCACCATGACTACCCTTCCGTAACCACCGGTCTTGTCAATGGGCTGGGTCAGCGCATTCCCCGGAGTGAGAAAGGGGAGGATGTGTTGGTCTTGGAGTTTGTAGTTCTTTACTACACCGTCATCGTCGGGTGGTGAGAAGTATGTCGCAAGTAGCCACCATTGATAGCGTTGGAAATTTTCGAGTTTCAAGGGTGACCACCCCTTGAAGCAGCCACGAGGAACACAAAACTGGCCGCCTTTGCGATATAGTTCTCCGGTTCGTTCATGTTTCACAAGGGGTAGATCCTGATCGGTGACACCCTCTCTCACGAAGTCCGCGACGGAAGAAACGGCTTCGATTAGAACCAAGAGTGCAAAGATCTTGCGGAACGTGGTGATCTTGGTCGTTCCCTTTTGTCCTTCATCCTCCGTTTCTGCACACACTGTTTCTGCGTAGAATGTGACTTGATCGGGTGAAAGTTGCGCCGCAGTTCTTGTTAGTTCTCGCGTCACAGCCTCGACCGTTATCACATGACGCAGTTTGGCTTTAGAGACAAATGTGTCGGTCTGGCTCTCAATTTCCCGTGTATTCCGGCGTGCATCCAGGATCTCCTGTTGTAGTTCATACTTGTCGTCTAACGGTGACAACGAGGCCAATGACTGCGCTAGGTCCTCGTCCAATGAGTCTTCTGGGCGCAGAAGAGTACGATCTTCATGCAGTTGCTGTTGATCGCCAGCGTCTGAGATATTTGTGACGCTTAGTTTGGGTGATACCAGGAAATTCCGAAAGGCCGGAACACCTAGCGACGACGTATAGCCGCGCTCGGGATTCCATGACTCTCCCGAGAAGGAGCGAGAATGGCCGAGTGAGGTAAGCTAAAGGGGCTCCGGTCAGAAAGGCTCAGCTGTGGGTTCTCAAGACGAAGCATACCTCATCACTTTCCCATTGCGCATCTTCCGCTCCCGCTTCTGTGTCTTCGTCAAGCAAGGGAATCCCTACTGGGTGAGGATCAACCCATGTCGTGGATGAGGATGGCGAGCCACGATATTGCGCAGTCAGCCATGCGTTCCTGTCTGTGTGCGAGTCGACAGCTTCCGAGTCACAATCCGATGACTGTGACTTACGAAAAGACTGGGGGCTGTCTTCGTCATGTACGCTACTGTCCGATGACCTATGGAAAGAGTCACGACGTGACGTGGTGTATGAGGCTATCGGCTGCTGATTTGGTCTAAGACCTCCGTCGCTCAGGCAGTAACCACTTGGATCCTGTTGATTCGCTGGTGGTGGCGAGATAGGCCTAGGTCCAAGAACAGGAAGCCACGGACCAGGTACCAACACGTCAGACAGCGACTGATTTGATATGGATACCTCTTCTCTTGCTTCATTCGGCGGTTGCGAGTTGTGGGTTTCGGGTTGAGCCGTACGTTGTTCTGTGCCCCGTAGGCTCAGAGGGGCGGGGCCTTTGACCGGACTCCGACGCGCCTCGTTTGGCGGGGCATCCGCCTTAGACACGCGCAGAGCGAAGGGAGGCATCGTCCACTGCACAAAGACAACTGTCTGAGTTTGAAACAGCCCCTACGGCGTATCGCATTGTTATATGTGGATGCCTCATGAAGGACCTTGAGCCGCACAAGGCTGAGCGGTCAGTCCTGTGTGGTAACCGCCCGTCTTCGAGTCCAGTGCCTGCGGTGCCTGGGGTTGTCAGATGTGGCTGCTTCACGGCCATCAGAATTTAGACGGATGTATTTGATTGGTTCCACAATGTCTCAGCCGGTGAGCTGTTTGGGGTGACATGCGGAAGTGCATGGCGCAGCACTGGCGAACCGACGTTCGCTGCCTAGAACAGCTCGTTAGAGTATGTAGGCACATGGACTGCACAGCCGCAGCTGAATTGAGGTAATCCACGCGCCCTTCAGCCTGCCGATAGCCTCAGAATGTCATAACATGTGTGTATATACGCAGGCGAAGTCCTCCTCCCTTGGAAGAAGATATAGACCACAACCTCCTTCAAGACTCTTTACTTACGACTGAACGGTGTATCAAAAGCGACATCAATGTCATCATCAAAACAAGTCGCATACGTCAAGGTATCAACCCCTTCGATAAGAAGGTACGACGAGGACGATGATCAGTCGGACTTTGAAGATGCGCAATCGATATCGGGGAGTAACATCGACCCTGCGAAGTTGGCAGCACTTCTGAGGATCAAATTCGGGGCAGGAACCTATGATATACATGTGAGTAGGACTAGTCTCGCGGTATTCGTAAACCTTTTGATCAAGAACTGACGAGCATCGTAGATAATGCAGAACTCTTACTGTATCATCGCGCCGCGAAAACTTTCAACTGTAAGTCAAGAATCTGGCTAGAAACACTCTGGTATCTGACGCGCAACAGGGAGAGATAGCTAGATGCCAAAGAAGAAGATGAGGACGATGAGTGGCTGTCTAAGCGTCTCGTAGACGTGAGAGCCGCTCGCCGGTTCAGGTAAATGGGAGAGTAAAGCCCGGTAGGACGCACGGAACGTGCCATGATGACGGAAACGCGGGCACTTCGACAGAGAGGCGTGAGAACGCAGGATGACGCTCATGGCGATTCGTGTCTTGCAGCCTCGTGGCGACGAACGTTTGAGGGGAAGACATCATAGTTTG